CACTCACGAAGCTGCTGAGGCGGAGGGATGTCCCGCGAGCGCTGCTGCTGCTGCCGCTGCGAGCGCTGGCCACCACCACCGCCGCTACGCTGCTGGGTACCACCTCGACCAGCTCCACCTCCTCCACCACCACCGCCTCCTCCGCTGCCGCCTCCACCGCCTCCACCTCCGCCGCCTCCACCTCCGCCGCTGCCTCCACCACCACCGCTGGCACCACCACCACCGTCTCCGCCGCTGCTGCCACCACCACCACCACCCCCGCCACTAGTCCCGCCGCCACCCCCACTCCCTCCGCCGCCACCGCCGCCACCGCCACCGCCCCCTCCAGCTCCACCCGCGCCCTTGCCCCCCTTGCCCTTGCTGGAGCGACGTCTCCCACTAGGGGTAGACGCCGCGCCGACCGACTCAAGACCAAGCAGGTCGGCAGCAGCAGCAGAGGCAACAGAGGGCAGCAAGGGGGAAGGAGAGCACCCCTCAAAGATGGGGGTGCGAGGGTCACCACGAGAAGCACCTACAGCGACTATGCTCTTCTCCGCTGCGAGGAGGGCCTTCTCGAGGAGGTCGACGGTGAGGGTGGTGGGACAGACTGCGAGAAAGTGGTCCCTGACGACGCGAAGGGAGTCAGGGAGGCGCGCGACTACGTAGTAGAGAGCGATGTACATGGGGGGTGGGTTCTTAGCGCAGAACTCAGCAGGAAGGGTGGCGCGGTAGCGAGTGTCACTAGTGCGGAGGTGCGTAATGAGGTCAGCAACAGTGGGAAAGGCAGAGAGGTCAGGAAAGAGGTAGGGAAGCATGAGACGGCTCAGTGCAGCAGTGGCAGGGGAGGAGTAGCGCGCAACTACAGCGTCGTACAAGGTCTGAGCACTCTTGTACTGACTAAAGTGCGCACGCTCAGAGGTAGGGAGGTGGCGACGCACAGCAAGACGTGCAGCAGCATTGCGGGTGGCCCACTGAGAGCGGACAGTGGGATCAGCATCAGCAGCAGGAGCAGGAGAGGCGCCAGAGGTGAGGTCAAAGAGAGAAAGGTCGTCAGCCCTGTCGCACTGTAAGAACAGCTGCAGGTCGTCTAACCAGACCTCAAAATCAATGGCGCGACCCTCAGCGTCAAAAGCTAGGACACTAGGGGTAGCCATGGCGACGACAGCGACGCAGTGCAAGCAGTAGGGAAAGAGCTCGCAGTGTCAGTGGGACTGTGCTCACCAGGCAGGGCAGGTCGTGCAGCTCTGCAGAAAGGCGGCTCAGCGACCGGGCGGCTCGGGTGCACAGCGGCTCGGCTCCCGGGCGGCTCGGCGGCTGGGCAGCTCGGGCGCAGGGCGGCTCGGCTCCCGGGCGGCTCGGCGGCAGGGCGGCTCGGGTGCAGGGCGGCTCGGCTCCCGGGCGGCTCGGCGGCAGGGCGGCTCGGGTCCCGGGCGGCTCGGCGTTGGGCGGCTCGGCTCCCGGGCGGTTCGGCTGCTGGGGCTGCTCTGCTGCTGGGGCGGCTCGGCCGGGAGATGCAGGGGCGGGGCCGTCAGGTGCAGCGGCGGGTCGACCGGTGCAACGGCGGGCCGGCAGGTGCAGCGGCGGGGCCGTAGGGTGCAGCGGCGGGCCGACCAGGTGGGGCGGCGGGCCGTAGGGTGCAGCGGCGGGCCGGCAGGTGCAGCGGCGGGGTCGTCAGGTGAGGCGGCGGGCCGCTGGGTGCAGCGGCGGGCCGGCAGGTGCAGCGGCGGGCCGGCAGGTGCAGCGGCGGGGCCGTCAGGTGAGGCGGCGGGCCGTAGGGTGCAGCGGCGGGCCGTAGGGTGCAGCGGCGGAGCCGGCGGTGGGGCCGCGTCAGTGGAGGCGGCGGGGCCGCGTCAAGCAGGCGGCGGGGCCGCGACGAAGCGGGCGGCAGGGCCGCGTCAGAGCCGGCGGCGGGGCCGCGTCAGTGGAGGCGGCGGGGCCGCGTCAAGCAGGCGGCGGGGCCGCGACGAAGCGGGCGGCAGGGCCGCGTCTGAGGGACAGCGGGGCCGCGAGGGAAATGGCGACCCGAGGGGTCGCTAAAAAAAAGGCGCGCCTCGGGGCGCGCTTCGGTGGGCCCTAAAAAAAACGGTCCTAAGGAAGGAACCGCTCTATACCATGTGAAACAAGTGAACAGGAATGGGAATGACTAAGGAAAGATTGGGTACAAATACAACCCTAGAAACCGTGTACCCCATATGTGCTACCCCACTATAGCCTACAGCGACTATGTCATATAAATCTGACAGGTCATTCAATTCAAGCTTTCAGTTTATGTTGGTAAGTCAACAATGCAATTATTTAGCTGAGCCCATTGAACTAACAATGCAGTTTCACTGCGCAGGGCCACTACCTATTCACTCGCGCAGACGTTGTCAAAGTAACTAGGAAGAGGTTGGCTTCGGAGCCATGGCTTAGGAGCCTTGGTTGAGTTCGAGTATTTTGAGTTAGAGAGAAGTCGAGTAGGTTGAAACAAAAGAGGTGTTTCACTATAGAGCGAGCAGTACAAATAGGCAAGATGAAAGGTGCACCACCAAAACAGAACATTACATAACTACAGTAGTCTACACTACAGGCAATTACAAAACAATATATAGATTTATATATTATTCTGACACGCCCCCATAAGTGCCTGTAGGGAAGAATATGCAGTCAACGCCCCCATAATGGGGTACACCAGACAGGCCGCAGCGGAAATCATGGCATCAGGCAAGTGCAGTGACAACAGGTGCAGTGATGGCAAATCCAGCTGTACCAACCCCTTTACCAAGGTAAAAAACAGTAGGAGGTGTTGGGGCGGCAGGTCGCCTGAGAAGCAGGCTCTGTGGCTGCAACATGCAGCAGGACAGCAGCGGCTCGACGGCAGCACCTGCAGGCCCCAGCAGAAGGTAGCAAACACAAGGTCAACAAAAGGTAGGTGGTAGCAGGGGCGGCAGCTGGAGGTGCCACGGCAGCAGCGGGCGTCAGCAACAGATGACCGGCTGACTTCCGTCGCCCCCTCACTCCCCCCCCACAGCGGCACGTGCGGCAGTGAGAGAGAGAGGAGGGGCGGCAGCTTCTTGCTCACACCCGCCTCCCCAAAACCTCCCCCCCACACTGCCGCACGCGCAGCAGGGTGAGAGAGGAGCATCAGCCACCCTCGCGCCTCCCCCTCCCCCCCCTCTCGCCACACTTGCGTCCACAGCGGAAGACACTGCAGCGGGCTCGGGTGGCGTTGGTGAGATCTCGGGTAGGGGGGGGGGAGTAACGGGGGGGTGCAACAGGTGCCGCGACGAGCGCCTGCGCACAGCTCGCCGTCGCTTGCGCGGCAGCTCCAGTGGGAGCAGCCGCATTTTCAACGGGAGGGCGGGGCAGGGGGCACGTTCGACGACTGAAGTAGCTCGGCCGCCACACCCGCCGTCTCCCCCCAAAGCGACCGTCGATGCAGACGTTTGGGGCCGCGACAGGGCGTGACGAGGTTGCAGGAGGGCGCGATGGGCAGACGATGGGGCCGCCGACTGGGGCCGCGACGAACAGAACTAAACCCGCCACGCTCGACTTAGTAACCTTCACAAATAGCGGCTGAACGAGCACTTTTGGAGCCGCGACAAGCGCCATGGCAGGAACGATAAGTGGTGGGCCCATGGGAAAAAAAAAACCAGGTCCTAGGATAGGAACCTCACTCTGATAACATGTCAAAGTAACTAGGAAGAGGTTGGCTTCGGAGCCATGGCTTAGGAGCCTTGGTTGAGTTCGAGTAGTTTGAGTTAGAGAGAAGTCGAGTAGGTTGAAACAAAAGAGGTGTTTCACTATAGAGCGAGCAGTACAAATAGGCAAGATGAAAGGTGCACCACCAAAACAGAACATTATATAACTACAGTAGTCTACACTACAGGCAGTTACAAAACAATATATAGATTTATATATTATTCTGACTAACGTTGGAACAACGGGGGGTGTTTCTTGCCAATGTTACCAATAGGCAGCCTGTAATCGATACTAGCATTAGATGTATTTGTTTTTTTTGTTTTTTTTGGTATCCGCAATGGAGCTTGTTCTGTTGTGTTAGTAAGTACTGAAATTGTCACTGAGCATCTGGAAAGTCCCCGAAGTTTTTTATATTTCTCCCGGTTTTATTAGTAATTTGTGAACTGATTTCTACTGAATCTGTGAACAATTATTAACGAAACTGAAAAATATTGAAATACCGAATGTGGTTGTTATAAATTATAGATCATGCAACCTAACGGTGAGCCTAAACCATGTCTATGAGAGGTGTAGCTATCAATTGTAACTAAAGCTCGCTATAACACTTTCGTGACAATCACAAATAAATAATCGCACATATCGTAACAGCTGCACCCTGAAATTTAGAGCGAGACAACGTCTCGCTACATGAACAGCAATGACGGGTTTGCAACCCTAATTTTATTGGCGAAACACTTGAATTGCACCTGTGATCGACCAATCGTAGAGAGACGAACAACTTCCACAATTGTGGGAGCTCCACTATCCATCACCCCCGAGCCACAAACAGGTGCAGGCTAGTTGGTTCCTGAATCGTGGGAGTGTACTCGCGCGAATCTGCATTCCAAACCTAGAGAAGCATCATGACCGGCATTCCCAGAGATACCTTTCCAGCAGCAACCCCAAAGCAACTTCGAAAGTATCTTTTGCATAGGAATTTGGGGTGGGGTTTTTTCGGATGTGGTAAGGCCGGTCCCGTCATTCCTTTTATTTCGGCTCGTGCACATCCCTACCCAAAAGCTATCATTCTCATCCTTTCTTTGATGTCTTTAAGGCGTTTGATGCTCCTCCTACCCTCTGTTCCTCTTATCCTCGTGCTTTGCCTCCCCGCCGTCTCCATGCCATGGCACGTCTCTAACACTTAGCGCGCAAAAGAGGATGCAGCAAATAGAAATTGAGTAGTCATGCATGGAGGCTCCACGCCTCCCTGCTCTTATTCGGGCAGTTGCATTCGGGAGTGCACTTAGCCTGCCTGGTTAAGAAACAATGACTTGTGAACTCTCGTTTCTGCAAGTCTTGCCATGACACATCCCTGGCCTTTTTATGTCCGCGTTTGAATCCCCAGCGTTACATTCGTGTGGAATTTACCGACCGATTTCCAAGAATTGGCGATGTTGACCGTCTACCTGCTCAGATAAGCGCATTCCGACCGCCGATCCGCGCGGATCGGCGATATATTTCGGACAATTTCCGATCCTTCTCCGTGTGAAACCCATCTGTGTGCACAAGCTTCTTCTCTTATGCGAGTCTTCTCACACATTGCACCTCGTTCCTCGTGCCCATGCGACTGCTTTTATTATGTGTGCAAGCAACCATTACCAAATTCTTCCTCGTCGCACCGGATCCTACCCCACCCGGGCCTTGTCTAATTTCGTCAGTCTGCAGTAAAGGAGGAACATGAATGGCAGGATTAGTAATTGAAGGGCTGTCAAAGGAGAGTCACAGGAGGATATGGCTGCTGAGAGAGTGACAATTGCAGTGAGTGAGTTGGTCAAAAAGGCAGTGGTGGAAGCAGTGAGAGAGGAGTTGGCGGGACATTACGAGGAGGTGCATGAGCTACGCCGTATGCTGCTTGCTGTGGAGGAGAGGAACCAGGCGACTGCTGCTGCGATGGAGGAGAGGGAGAGAGAGCTGGCTGCACACAAGGAGGAGGTGGATAGTTTGCGGCACAAGGTGACTGCTGTGGAGGAGAGGAACGAGGCGACTGCTGCTGTGATGAAGGAGAGGGAGAGAGAGTTGGCTGCGGTGAGGCGGGAGTTGGGTGAGCAAAGGGAGTCAACTAGATTGCAGTTGGAGGAGGCTGAAAGGAGACGAGTGGCGGAGATGAGGGAGTTGAGAGGGCAGGTCGAGGAGAGGGAGAAGCTGGCAGCAGTGAAGAGTGAGGTAACTGCAGTGAAGGGGGAGGAGACTGCACAGGAAAAACGGCGTTCTCATGAAGATGGATGTTGACCAGAGAATCAGCCAGAGTGAAGGCGATCAGTCAGAAGAAGGCATGGGAGGTGAGTGCTGAGTTTGCATTGTTGCTCAGGGCGTGTAGCTCGCTAGTTCTCTCTTGCCACTTCGGTCATCCCTTTCCTTCTCATATGTTTCCATTGCACCCATGCCCTCTAGAAAATAAAGTCAGCATCACAGAGTGCCTATCCATACCTGGATGATCTCAACGGCATCTCAAGAGCAATCTTTGCACATGTATCCACAATGACCCATCTGACGGTCATTTACTTGCAGCATAGCTCAGGCTTCAGTGCAGAGGGCATGAAGCACCTCTACAGGCTCCCACGGCTGGAGGTGCTAGCCCTCAAAGATGCAGACTTCTCAGACAGTGCCCTAGAAGGCATTGGGTCCTTGACCAGTCTCAAGGAGCTCTATCTCCATCGTACCAAGGTGACCGATGCTGGGCTGACGCACTTGACACGCCTTTCCTCTCTCAGAAATTTGGGACTCGCTGGATGCAAGGGTGTGACGAATGGCGGCACGGTGCATGTGGGTGTCAGAACATATAGCTTGTGCATATTGTGTAGGCTATAGTGGGGTAGCCCATAAGGGGTACAACCCAATTAGGGTTAGTACTTGTACTCAGTTCATTCATAGTTCATTCCATTCTCGTTTCTTCTCATGGTATCGAGCAGGTTCCCTAACGTGAACGATTCCTAGGGCCCACCACTACGATTTTTTTTTTCCTGCCCGGAGCGCGCTCCTCTTAAGCCCGAGTCGCGCCCTGTGTGCTAACCTTACTGTCGCGCCGACCCTTACGGGCCCTTAGGCCCCTTCGCAGCCCCGTCGCGCTGCCCTAATGGCCGCGTCGCGCCGCCCTAGCGGCCTCTCGCGGCCCCGATCAGCCGCCCTTGCGGCCCCGAACCGCCGCCCTTTCACCAGCCGCCCCGTTGCTGCCCTTGCAGCGGCCCGTCGCCGCCCTTGCAGCGGCCCGTCGCCGCCCTTCTCAGCGGCCCCGCCGTCCCTTTAAACGGCCCCGCCGCCCTCACCTGCGGCCCGCCGCCCTTCCTGCGGCCCGTCGCCCTTCCCTGCGGCCCCGCCGCCGTCTCCTAACGGCCCCGCCGCCCTTACTAGCGGCCCCGCCGCCCTTACCTGCGGCCCCGCCGCCCTTACCTACGGCCCCGCCGCCCTAAACTGCGGCCTCGCCGCCCTCAACCTACGGCCCCGCCGCTCTCACCTGCGGCCCCACCGCTCTCACCTACGGCCCCGCCATCCTGACCTGCGGCCCCGTCGCCTGCTGCAGCACCGCCCGCCACCCCAGCTGCCCGAGCCGCCTCACCCAGCCGAGCAGCAGACCGCCGCGCCGCCCTGCAGCAGCACCGCCGAGCCGCCCGGGCAACCGAGCAGCCGGACAGCCGAGCCGCCAGGCCGCCCAGCAGCCGAGCAGCCAAGCTGCCGTACAGCCGGGCCGCCGAGCCGCACTGCAGCCGAGCCGCCCAACCGCCCTGTAGCCGAGCCGCCAAGCCGCCCTACCGCCAAGCCGCCCGAGCTGCCCCGTCCAGTAAGCACAGTGCCTCTTTCACTGCACTGCCCTCACCCTACTATTTGCACTGCTAGTCTACTATGGTCATGGCTACCCCTAGTGTCCTCGCTTTTGACGCTGAGGGTCGAGCCATTGACTTTGACGTCTGGGTAGATGACCTGCAGCTTTTCCTACAGTGCGATAGGGCAGACGGTCTCTCTCTCTTTGACCTCACCTCTGGCGCCTCTCCTGCCCCTGCTGCTGATGCTCACGCCACTGTTCGCTCCCAGTGGGCCACGCACGACGCTGCTGCACGTCTTGCTGTGCGTCGCCACCTCCCTACCTCCGAGCGTGCGCACTTAAGTCAGTACAAGAGTGCTCAGACCTTGTACGACACTGTAGTTGCACGCTACTCCTCCCCTGCCACTGCTGTACTGAGCCGCCTCATGCTACCGTACCTCTTCCTTGACCTTGCTGCCTTTCCCACAGTCGCTGACCTCATTACGCACCTCCGCACTAGTGACACTCGCTACCGCGCTGCGCTTCCTGCTGACTTCTGCGCCAAGAACCCCCCCCCCCCCCCCATGTACATCACCCTCTACTACATAGTCACCCGACTCCCTGACACCCTTCGCGTAGTCAGGGACCACTTCCTCGCAGTGTGCCCCACCACTCTCACCGTTGACCTCCTCAAGAAGGCCCTCCTAGCGGCTCGTGGTGACCCCCGCACCTCTGTCTTTGAGGGGTGTTCTCCCTCCCCCCTCTTGCCCTCTGTTGCTTCTGCTGCTGCGGCCGACCTCGTTGGTTTTGAGTCGGTCGGTGCTGCGTCTGCCCTATGGGGGAAGCGCCCCACAGGCAAGGGCAAGGGGGGCAAGGGCGCTGGCGGGGGCGGTGGAGGCGGCGGTGGAGGCGGCGGAGGGAGTGGGGGTGGTGGTGGGAGTGGTGGCGGGGGTGGGAGTACCGGTGGCAGTAGTGGAGGCGGAGGCGGCGGCGGTGGCGGAGGGAGCGGAGGCGGCGGTGGTAGCGGAGGCGGCGGTGGTAGCGGAGGCGGCGGTGGTGGCGGAGGAGGCGGTGGTGGCGGAGGTGGCGGAGGCGGCGGAGGCGGCAGAGGTGGCGGTGGAGCTGGTCGCGGGTCTACGCAGAGGAGTGGCTTCGGTGGTGGTCCGCGCCAGCAGCAGCAGCGCGGTCGTGAGACCCTGTCCCCTCAGCAGCTCCGTGAGTGGTACACTGCACGCCAGCGGGGTGGGGGTTTTGGTCCGTGCACCTACGTCCTGCGCACCGGCGACCGTGCGGGTGAGCAGTGTGGGGGTGCGCACCCCACCCAGCGCTGCTTTGGCCGCCTGACGGACGCGTGGCGTCGCCAGTTCCCTGAGGCCACAGAGATCCCTCGCTGGGGCGAGCTGTCTAGGGCGGGGGTTGCCATCTATGATCTTGATTTTGATGCTATTCTTTCTGCCATGTATGCTGTGACTATTAGTGATGAGGGTGACTGTTACCGGTGTTTCCCGCCCGATCCGGGCATTGAGACTGCTGCTCTAGGTACAGGTGAGGCTGCTGCCCTAGGTGCTTGCGACGCTGCTTCTCTAGGTGCTAGTGCGTCTGCGTCCTCAGGTACTGGTGAGTTTGCACTCTCAGGTACTGCGTTGGTTTCGGCCTCCCTCACCTTCACCCTTGACTCTGGGGCTTCTCGCTCCTTCTTTCGGGACCGCACCACACTCACGCTGCTTAGTCGGCCGGTAGCGGTGTCTCTGGCTGACCCCTCTGGGGGTCCTGTCCTATCTCACTTCTCCACAGTCCTCCCGTGTCCGGCGGCTCCCGCTGGTACCCTGTCTGGTCTCTACCTCCCCTCGTTCTCTACGAACTTGGTGAGTGGTGCTGACCTACAGGATGGGGGAGTACACCAGTTCACTCCTGCGTGTCACCGGGTGATGCAGTGCACAGAGGCTAGCACAGGCCGATACTTGGCTACGTTTACACGTCAGCCGGGGTCGAGCCTGTACACACTGACCACAGCATCTCCTCCAGTTGCTGAGTCTCGTAGGGTAGCTGCGTCAGGTCAGGTGTTTGCTGCAGCGTCCAGGTCTGGTCCTGAGTCTGCCCCCTGTTCGTGTCGTCTCCTGTCTCACGAGACTCTCCTCTGGCACCACCGCCTTGGTCACCCCTCTCTGCTTCATCTCAGAGGCATGGCCTCCCGTCTTCTTGTTTCTGGTCTCCCCAGGTCCCTCCCTCTCCTTCCTCAGGGGCCTGGCCCTACCTGTGTCCCCTGTGTCGAGGGGCGGCAGCGGGCTGCCCCTCACTCCTCCCAGTTTCCTCCGACAGAGGCCCCGCTGCAGACGCTTCACATGGACGTGTGGGGCTCAGCCCGCGTCTGTGGACAGGGTCACGAGCACTACTTCCTGCTCGTTGTTGACGACTACTCGCGTTACACCGCGGTCTTCCCCTTGCGCAGCAAGGGTGATGTCACTGAGGTGCTGATCGTCTGGATCCGCGCAGCTCGTCTCCAGCTCAGGCAGAGCTTTGACTCGAACATTCCTGCTCTGCGTCTGCACTCGGACAGAGGCGGAGAGTTTTCCTCTGACCTTCTGAGAGCCTACCGTCTCGCACGAGGCATCCGTCAGACCTTCACGCTTCCGGACTCTCCGCAGCAAAATGGGATCGCTGAGCGCCGCATAGGCATGGTCATGGACGTCGCTCGTACGTCTATGATGCATGCGGCTGCCCCCCATTTTCTGTGGCCGTTTGCGGTGAGGTACGCGGCGCATCAGATCAACCTTCACCCCAGGATCTCCAGGCCGGAGACCTCCCCAGCCTTACTGTGGACGGGGAAGGTTGGCGCTGCGTCCGCGTTCCGGGTCTGGGGATCTCGGGCGTTTGTCCGCGACTTGTCTACGGACAAGCTGTCCCCTCGTGCTGCTCCCTGCGTCTTCCTGGGGTTCCCCCCTGACACGCCTGGGTGGCAGTTCTACCACCCCACCTCTCGCCGTGTACTGTCCTCCTAGGACGTCACGTTTGACGAGTCGGTTCCCTACTACCGCCTCTTCCCCTACCGCACTCCGTCCCTCCCCCCCCCCCCCCCCCCCCCGCTTTTCCTTGTACAAGGTCCCCCCTCGGTAGACCCCCTCCCCCCTCAGGGTTCTGCCCCTTCAGGTGTGTCCCAGGTAGACGCAGTCGAGCCTGTCGAGGTCACTGGTGACTGTGGTGCTGCTGAGGATCCTGAGCTTGGGGGTGCTGAGACTGGGGGTGCTGAGCCTGGGGGTGCTGAGACTTGGGGTGCTGAGCCTGGGGGTGCTGCGACTGGGGGTGCTGCGACTGGGGGTGCTGAGCCTGGGGAAGCTGCGACTGGGGGTACTGGGCCTGGGGGTCCTGAGACTGGGGGTGCTGAGCCTGGGGGTGCTGAGCCTGGGGGTGCTGAGCCTAGGGGTGCTGAGCCTGGGGGTGCTGTGCCTTGGGGTGCTTCACCTGGGGGTGTTGTGCCTGGGAGTGCTACACCTGG